CTGCTGCTGCTGCTGCTGCTGCTGCTGCTGCTGCTGCTTGCTGCTGCTGCTGCTGCTGCTGCTGCTGCTGCTGCTGCTGCTGCTGCTGCTGCTGCTGCTGCTGCTGCTGCTGCTGCTGCTGCTGCTGCTGCTGCTGCTGCTGCTGCTGCTGCTGCTGCTGCTGCTGCTGCTGCTGCTGCTGCTGCTGCTGCTGCTGCTGCTGCTGCTGCTGCTGCTGCTGCTGCTGCTGCTGCTGCTGCTGCTGCTGCTGCTGCTGCTGCTGCTGCTGCTGCTGCTGCTGCTGCTGCTGCTGCTGCTGCTGCTGCTGCTGCTGCTGCTGCTGCTGCTGCTGCTGCTGCTGCTGCTGCTGCTGCTGCTGCTGCTGCTGCTGCTGCTGCTGCTGCTGCTGCTGCTGCTGCTGCTGCTGCTGCTGCTGCTGCTGCTGCTGCTGCTGCTGCTGCTGCTGCTGCTGCTGCTGCTGCTGCTGCTGCTGCTGCTGCTGCTGCTGCTGCTGCTGCTGCTGCTGCTGCTGCTGCTGCTGCTGCTGCTGCTGCTGCTGCTGCTGCTGCTGCTGCTGCTGCTGCTGCTGCTGCTGCTGCTGCTGCTGCTGCTGCTGCTGCTGCTGCTGCTGCTGCTGCTGCTGCTGCTGCTGCTGCTGTGCTGCTGCTGCTGCTGCTGCTGCTGCTGCTGCTGCTGCTGCTGCTGCTGCTGCTGCTGCTGCTGCTGCTGCTGCTGCTGCTGCTGCTGCTGCTGCTGCTGCTGCTGCTGCTGCTGCTGCTGCTGCTGCTGCTGCTGCTGCTGCTGCTGCTGCTGCTGCTGCTGCTGCTGCTGCTGCTGCTGCTGCTGCTGCTGCTGCTGATCCTGCAGAGGTGAGATGCTGGGGAGGGCGTGGCGCGTGGGGCGCGGCGCGTAGGTGTGAGGTGTGGGGTGCGGTTCTTGAAGTGTGAAGTGATATCGGCTTACTGCACGCTGCTTTCTTCGGGTCAGTTGCCCAGACACGGCCTGACCTAATCCCTCGCATCCTCCCATTCTCTCCCCCCTCTTTCCAGTTCGCAGCAAGCGCCATCCGCGCGCAGATCCTCTCCGCCAAGTCCGCCGCCACGGCGCCGGGCGCCTCGCACGCCGCGCCGCACGCGCTGATCATCGACGGCAAGGCGCTCGCGCACGTGCTGGCGGACGCGCCTCTGCGCAGCGAGTTCCTCCGCGCCGCGCTCGCGTGCGCGTCCGTCATCTGCTGCCGCGTGTCGCCCAAGCAGAAAGCGCAAGTCACGGAGCTCGTAGGCTCGGAAGGGGGGATGATAACCCTAGGAATCGGCGACGGCGCGAACGACGTGGGGATGATTCAGAAGGCGCATATCGGCGTGGGGATTGCGGGGGAGGAGGGGCAGCAGGCGGTTATGGCAGCTGATTTTGCGATCGGGCAGTTTCGGTTTGTAGAGCGGTTGCTACTGGTGCACGGGTCGTGGAGCTACACTCGCATTACATACATGATAAAATACTTTCTATATAAGTGCCACACATTTGCCTTCACCATCTTTTTCTTCAACGGGCTCGCAATGTTTTCGGGCAGCCCAGTGTACTTTGATTGGCTGCTCGCGCTGTTCCAAGTGCTCTTTTCAGCGCTGCCCGTGGCGGCGGTGGGAGCGTTTGACCAGGACGTGAAGGCTATCTACCACATGAGATACCCGCGCCTCTACGCCCAGGTGAGCACGTCTCCCGTCTCCCCCCCCCCTTCGCTGGAGTGACTGTATTAGTTAGGTAGGATGTTTCCTCATGCTCTACCTTACCTACCCTCTCTCCTCTCCTTTGAAGCTTTTTGAGCCAGCCACTGGCTCACTCGCCTGCACCTACCACATTTCTGAACTCAGTAAGTTCCCAACAAAACACAAGCTGATTTCATTAACCCCCCACTCACCCTGCTTTCCAACCACCAGAGCCAGCGCAATCGGCTGTTCACGGTGGGGGCGATCGGCATGGCGATGGGCAAGGGCATGGTGCAGGCGGCCATTCTCTTTGCGCTCTCCTTCCTGCCGCTTTTGCTCTCCTCCTCCGGAACAGATGGTCGTGTGCTAGACCTCACAGCGCAGGGATCCATTCTGTTCACGGGGCTCGTGCTGGCAGTGAATCTCGATCTTGCCATCACCATCCAGGTGAGCCCTTGTGCCCCTTCACCCGAGTCACCTTGTGTTGTGTGCCACTCACTTCACTTGCCTGACATCAGCCCTTGAACCGCCCAGCGTCCGTATACCTGCTTCCGCAGCTCCTCTCTCAGTCACTTCACTGCCCATGTTCGGCACCAGCTTATATGCTTTGCTATTCCTTCCCTGCCTTCCCACCACCACACCCTAACCCCACACCACAACCCCACCAGTACTGGACGCTCATCCACCACCTAGCTGTGTGGGGCTCCATCGCCCTCTGGTTCATCTTCCTCGCCGTCGTCAGCTACGTGCCCCCCACGCTCTCTGCCTCATTCTACGGCATGGTAGCCATGCTGCTGCCGCGCCTCGCCTACTACCTCATCGTGCTGCTTGCCACGGTGGCGGCGCTATTGCCTGGATTTGCTGCAGCCAGCATCACGAGGTACCTGGCGCCCACAGATGTGGAGATTGTGCAGGAGGTGCAGCAGCAGGACCATAAGAGACGGCTCACTCGCATCGCCACTATGCGGAGCAGCAGGAGGAGATAAAGGTGTAGTGTGGCAATATGGTGCGGCGGTATGATGGAGAAGTGTAAGTGGCGTCTTCACAGGCAGACCGTTGGTTTCACAGGGAGAGTCAGGTCACGTGGGCGTGGAAAAACGCCTTGGCGACGTGGGTGCGTGGTGGCGGATTGAGTTTCTGCAACGTCCATCGCTCACACGAGCAGGCACTAGCAGCTGCTGTGAGAATCCGCCACTTGTATCGATTTCAGGAGCTGACAAGCAAGACTAGCTCTCCAGCGCCAAGCGCCACAATAAATCCCTGTAAAGTCCCCGATATAAAACAAGTCAGTGTTAGGCAAGTCGACTATTTCGAATGTCAAGCTAAAAAAGGCTACAACAATGATGAGTTCTAGTATATCTGGTGCCTGGATTAGCCAGGCGAGGGCTGATATCCAGGCGAGGGCTGATAAACACCATCGGTTTAGACACAAAGCGTGTCCCTGTCTCTTGTAAAGGGCCTCTGCGATAGTCTTCTCTGCTGCTGCTCTCTTCATGCCGTGCTATGCACACACGAAACTAGACGTGCGACTGTTCTGCGACTCAATCGCGCTGCTCCTGCCCCATGAACGACAGCTTCGCATGCTCTGCGAATCGCCGTGCGACGTTGAGATGCTCCAACACCTGGCGGTCTTCCCGCGGCACCAGCACGACTTTCACGCCGTCAATCGCGGCCATGGCGTTGTTGATCTGCCCCATCACCAGCAGCCGCTGCTTCTGCCGCAGCAGCACCACCGCGTTTTGCAGCGCGCGCGCCGTCTGCACCAGATTCACGTAGTACTTGCGCCCCCCCCGCGACTCCCCCGCGCGCGCATCCGTTCCGGCGGGACTGTCCGCAGCGACGGCTGCAGGGCGGAGCCAGAAGGAGGGGGCGAGCGGGGAGGCATCGGCGTGCAGCAGGTGGGCGGCGCGGTTGACAAGAGAGGCCGATTCTTGTAGCAGCTGAATCGTCTCGCGGACGTTGTATTGTAGCGGACCCTGCGGCTTTCTGCACGGAGGGAAGCATGAGCGGACGGAGAGGGAGGAGCGCATCGGGAGAAGCAGGATTAACTTCAGGTTCAGGGGAGACTACAAAAAGCTTAGCTTTCTCCCTGAGACTACGATTTCGATGAGCCCACAACTCATGCCATGTTTTCGCTAAAGCTAAAGTTTCTGTCAGCTAGGTTGGTACCTTAGCTCGCGACGGTAGGGGACGGCGCTGGTGGTCTGAAAGCCCGAGTCGGAGAGCAGCTCGGGCGTCGCGACGAGCAGCACCAGCGCCAACGCCGCCACATTCGTGCACACGCGACGCGCGTCCATGGCGGGCTGGCAGAGAGACGCGGATGCAATGGAGATATTCGCTGATATTCGCTGATATTCGCTGATATTCGTTGATATTCGTTTCGGGGCCGATACTCGCTGTGCTACTCTAAGTGACTCCTGCGTCAAGAAAACAAGCGTCGATACGATTTCGTGGTTGTATACCGTATACAACGGTGACCGTTGCTGATGCCTGCTGCGCTACCTCTAAGGTCGAAGTGAAAACTGATAGTGTCTGGTGATTGCTACACAATTGCTTGAGACAGAGCTAATTCTTCGCTTTTCGCCACGTTCACTGCAGCTGCAGAGTCGTTCAACTGAAAAGTGGGCCGTGTGTTTCGGGAAATGGAGTGAAGTGCAAGAAATGGAACAAGGGGTGAGAAGGAACGAGGTGGTCATTCGTTTTCGGTGGCGTAGTATGCTCGAGGGCGCTGACCCGCAGAGGTACAGATCAGTGGGAGGAGAGGGGGGGCATTTTCTGAGTGGAATTTGAAAATTGAGCGCGTGCGGTTCGGTGTTTGGGGTGGAAGGAGAAATGCGGTCCGGAGGGAAGGAGGAAAGCGCGAAAAGGTCGCTTATGCGAAGCCTGTGATTGGCGGATTTTGTCGACTGCACATTCGGCGACTGACTGGCGACGAGCAACTTTCGTCGAACTGAGAGGAGAGTTTCCGTTATTCTTCGCGACGCACAAAACGGTCGCTTACAGTAATTGTTTCGTCTGGCCTGTGACATGGCGTTTCGCTAAAAACTGCGCCACTAGGAAGGGATTTTCACATTTGAATCTAAACAGAGTACATTTGCTGCGACTGCTTTGGTTCTGAGGCATCCTATCCTACGTCATTGAGATACGAGCCCAGAGCAGGGACAGCACAATCGCCAGAAGCATCGCCCAGACAATGACAAGCGTCGGCATGCGACTGCTCCGACCCATCAAACCCTGCCAGCCACAAATGAAATTCCTCAATCAGTGCCAGTTGACGTAAACTAGCACATAGATACCGTAAACTCGTTCATGGCCTACCTTTGTAAATGGGTACAGATGCAGAAGAACCCACACAGAAAAGAACACTTGGCCGACAAGTTGTCCTGCACGCCAGAGACAAGATCACACATGGGGGGGGGACATCATAAGGTAAGCAACGAAGCCAAAGCGGCACGTGCAAGAGCTGCTATCGCCTACACGGGTCAAGCGTACCAATCTGGTCAGCATTGGAGGTGGGCGCCTTGATGGGGTGGCCGTATCCACTGATGGTGGAGTCGGTGGATTGCCAGTTGTTGATGGCATGCGCCACTCCCGCCAGAATGGCAAATGCATTCACAATGATGATAGTCAGAGGAATGAGGAACAACCATGTCCACTGCACAACAAGGGGGTGGTGGTGGTGGTTGGTGTTTGGGGGGGAGTAGAGGAAGAATCAGAGACAAGTGAGAAGGAGAGACACATGCATGGTGTCAGAACGCATGAGCTCACTGCGCGAAAAAGGCCGCACTGAAAGCGAAACTGGTCACAGTGTGCAGCTTAGACCTGACGGTGTAGAGCTCGGCAAGCTCATTTTCCATGTCCTGGGGGGCCTTGAAGGTGCACAGTGAAAGCCGGCGCAGCAACAGTGATCGCTATGGCTACAGCTATGGGTGAGCATTCACAACTTACCCTGACGGTGTAGAGCTCTGCAAGCTCATCTTCCATGTCCTGCGAGGCCTTGGAGGTGAGCGTGAAATGCACCTCCACGCCCGCCACCACCTTCAGCAGGCCCTGTGCACACCATGAGAGAGATGCGGTGGTGTGGGGATGGGAGGGATGTGAGAAGAGGGGAGGGAGGGGCTTCAGATGCTGAACGAGAAAGCTGGGACGGGGAGTGTTACCTGAAAGAGCTTGGCAATCTGGGCAGACAGATGAGGGTCCATGGCGGGGGTGTGGCAGGACAGAAGGGAGCACAAATGCAGCACACAATGATTAATGGCAATACACAAATCATCTCACGCACACACGGCTAGCTCAGGTAGCGAAGACTGAATACAGAATTGGCTGATGTTTCAAGTGTACCACGAATATACCACTTAACAATGAGACACCTCATGAAGAATCTACCCAGCACCACATTACCTGCATGACGGCAGCAAAGTGCGCGGAGGTGCCTCCAATAACCCAGAACTGCTCGTTGCGCCACCACTCCTCCAGGGACACTCCTGCCAAGTTCATGGTCACATTCGGTTGGTTGGTTGGTAGGCAAGACAGGGCTCCATGATGGTGAAGTCGTGAACAGGGGAGCAGAATTGTGAGTGAAGTCGTGAACAGGGGAGCAGAATTGTGAGTGAAGTCGTGAACAGGGGAGCAGAATTGTGAGTGAAGTCGTGAACAGGGGAGCAGAATTGTGAGTGAAGTCGTGGACAGGGGAGCAGAATTGTGAGTGAAGTGTGTGAGATTCGCTGGAAAGAAATGGCGAAAGTCGTCCATGGCTGTGAGCGCAGCACTCACCGCTCCAGCGGATCTCAAGCAGAGCCGTGGCGAAGATGGAGAGGAAAAGAGCGAGGAAGTAGAGCACCGCCCAGTTGTCAATCTGAGAGAGGGGGAATCGTGCACGACAAGGGCGGAAAACATGGGCGGGCAGGAGGGAGACTGGATGGGCATGTGCGGGCATGCAGCTAACCGCAAAAAGAGAATAGCACAGGCTGCCAGAAACGACTGAACACGCATGGCAAGAACCAGTGAGCATCAAGAACAATTTTACAGCACAGCAAGCAGATGTTTTGGCTCACATTGGGCACGATGAACTGGCCGGTGAAGAGGCTGATGGCGGGCAGGAAGCAGTAGACTGTGAGGGCGATGGACGTGAACGGGTACAGCGCCGTGTTCATGTAGCTGCGTTGGAGGAAGGGAGGGGAGGGGAGAGGAGGACGGGGCATGTTACAATGGTCGCAGGTCACCAGGAATTGTGAAAAGCGAAACGATCGTGTAGAGATAGGACAAGAGGCTTGATGTAGCAGCGGGGAAAAGCAGAGGTGATACGACCGGAAAGACGGGGAAAGGGGAGAGGAGAGGTCAAGGGGAGCAGGCGTGGGAGCCTGGGAGGGTGTGCGGGAGGCTCACGCGATGCGTTGGATGGGTTTGAGGTGCGAGCAGCAGTCGGCCCACACGGGGTTGTGCTGCGAGAAGAAGATCTCCACCGACCCCGTCGCCCACCGCAGCACCTGCGCCAGCCGGTCCGTCATGTTTATGGGCGCCGAGCCCTGGGGGAGAGAGGGATGAGAGGTGGGGGACGATAAGGGGAGGAGAGAGGAGAATGGGAAAACGATGGGAGCATAAGTCGATCCATTGTGCTCACTGGGATGAAAGCCTGCAAGTGAACATGGCGCGTGCGAGGAGAGGCAGGGCCTACAGAGGGCTGGGGAGGGGACTGAAGGGTGCGGCTGACCTTGAAGGCGGGGCGTGGTGGCATGCAGTATACAGAGCGCCAGCCGCGTGTGTGCATCTTGTAGCCCGTCACTATGTCCTCCGTCACACTGCCGTACACCCACCCACACTGGCCAAGGCAACCCAGCAAGAGGAAAACGACGGGGGAAAGATTCAATTGGTTGGGATAGAAGCACGGCACGCAATTTTGAGAATTCTCAAAAGCGACTACAAGATTCTCAAAACCAATTTAATTGGTTGGGATAGATAGAAGCACGGCACGCAACGGGAAAGAAGATGCCATGGCAGCAGACGTGCACGGTTGAGGGAGGTGAGGGAAGGGTACAAGGGACAGCGGTACGAGATGAAGGCGGATCAAAGAACGCTGCGAATGGAAGGGTGGGACTCACACTGGTGCCCCACTCGGTGTTGTCCTCGTACCCACATGAGATCACCAGGATGACGTCACTCAACACCTCATGCGGGTCCTCTGTGGCCTGGCATCGCATGGCATGGCATGGCATGGCATGATTGGTGAGGAGCGGACGGGGATGTGAGAATGGTAGGGACGAGTGATGCGGTAAGGCACATGGTAGCACAATAAAACATATAACAGCATGATAAGCACACTGGACAACACATTGGATAAAGAATGGAAAGTCAGACAAGAGAAGCCAGCGTTATGGCAGAAGAGGCACGCACCATGGCCCCACCCACGCCATCAAAGACGGTGATGATGAAGTTATGGCACAGCCCAAACCGCTTTACATGCCACCTCGTTGGCAGCAACGCCGCCTCCTCCCCCTCCTCCCACCCCCTCTCCCCCCCTCTCCCCTCCCCCCCATGCTCCCCCATCCGCCCCCCCCTCCCCTCCTCCATCCCCCCCATCGACAACCCCTCCTGCTCCCCCTCTCCCCGCCTTCCCCCCCTGCGCCCAAACCACCGGCGCTTCACCCTTCCCCCATACGTGAACGGTCCTGCCCCGTCTTCCCCCAGCCCCCCCCCTTGCGGCGCTCCCCCAGCAGCAGCAGGTGTGCCAGCAGCGAGGTGGGAGGGCAGGCGCACGGGGGAGGGGCGGCCGGAGAGCCACGAGGGGCAGAGGGAGCAGCACGTGCGGCGCTTGGTGGGGGTCTTGGGGGGCGGGTCAAAGCCGTAGAGGGCCTGGGGGGGGGAGGAAAAAGGGAGGGGAGAGGGGAGGAAGGGGGATGACGAGAAAAAGAGATTGGAAGGAGATATGTGCGACGCTTGGATGGAAGCAGAGAGAGCAGGGTCTGATGTGATGTGGAATGGGGGGCTCAAATCCAAGTCACTCCGCCTCGCAACTGGCGCCAGAACATATTGACTTGTGCCCCAGCTCTCAAAACTGCGTTTCCTTCCACTCTCACCTGGCGGCGGAAGACACATCCCGTGCCCCACCCCATACATGGGGCCCTGCTGCCCTTTGAGACGTCTCAAAAGCCCAACGAGCTTGTAAAGTCTCAGCAGTCGTGTGCCTCACCTGGCGGCGGAAGACACAGCCCGTGCCCACATACATGGGCCCCTGCTGCCCGTCCAGCCCCTTCATGTTCACCTGCATGCCACGGCAATGGGGGGATGGTGACATAGTGGTGAGGAGAGTAAGCATGCTCTTGGTGGGGGATGGTGACAGGCTTGTTTATGCTGAGTGTCTTCGTAGTGGGATGACATGCATGTATGTTTGTGACAACTTGAGCTTGTGCAGACAAACGTACATGAGAGTGTGCGGAGCTCCCACTCACATCGTAGAAAACAGTGTTGTGGTTGGCGTAGCGGTCGCTCTTATCCACGCCATCAAAGCGCTGCGGGAACTGCACAAAGCACACCCGCCCGCCCTTTAGCGGATCCGCCAGGAAGCAGATAGCCTGAAGAGGGGAGAGTGGGAAGGGGAGGGTAGGGCGGGAAAGGGGAAATGAGGGGGGTTGGAGGGTTGGTTAAGTGATTAAGGAGAGGAGAAGATCGTATGGAGAGGAGAGGGGGGAGGATTCTTGCGACCGCATCATCCCCATGGCACAATTGCGCCTCGCACAGGAGGCTGCACTTGGCAACTGACCTCGCGGATGGTGCATGAGTTGTTGGCGTAGTGATTGCAGTTGAGGTTGAGGATGAAGGGCGCGATGGAACAGGGGCTCGGAGGCACAGGGTAAACAGGAAGCTTAAGAATTTTTAGGTCGTCTCAAGGAGGTAAGCAACCCACCTCACGGATGGCGCATGAGTTGTTGACATAGTGGTCGCAGTCAAGGTTGAGGATGAAGGGCGCATTTGTCAGTAGCGCTGATGCCCTCATCTGATGAGTATTATTCCATGGGGGTGGGGATGGGCACAGGGATAGAGATGGTGAACGGTGGGGCAAAGGTGCGTGGGTGGGTTTGTGAACGGTTTGTGGGACTAGAGAAGGGAAGAGATGGTGGGAGAAGGCGGGACAGGGTGGTGACTGGCAAGACAGGAAAGGAACTAGTGCTGACGGGGTGGTTAATGGAGAGATGGTTGCAAGAGCCTCCACCAACAACAATGCGTGGCATTTACAGCACAGTACGCCACACGCACTCACCATGGCATTCATGGCTCCAGCCTTCTTGTTGTGGTCATAGTTGGGGCGCTTCTCGCGCGACACATACACCTGCCGTGCACAGGTTGCAGCCGGGGAGCGGAGATGCATGCAAGGGCAGGTGTGAATGCGACAGGTGGAGGAGAGGCGTGAATGAGACAAGTAACGAGGGCAGTGGAGAACAACGAGGTAGACTAGTGGCAGGGAGAGAAGGTTGGCATGGGCGCTTGTTGTATGAGCTGCATACCAGGTAGGGAAGTGGGTCGCCATTGACGTCCTTGGTCTCTCCATTGGGCTGCAGAAACACCTGACCGGTAGGAGGAGTCGAATGCAGGAGAGTGAGGTAAGGTAGGGATGGAAGGAGAGAGACAAGCAGAACGGCAAGACTGCAACAGCCCAATGTTACACATGCATTGTCTCATATGCGCTTGTTTTTACCTCACGCACCACCAATTACTCCCTACTAAAATCATGCCCTCGTGCTGCACACACCTGGATAATGCCGACGTGGTCGGAGCGGTCGTTGCCGGGCCAGGCGGTGCCATCGGGCATGGTCCACCCGTCGCTCATGTGCGCGCTCTCATTCACCAGCACCACCACTCTGCACCTGAGTTGCACTCCTCACCTGGATCATGCCCACGTGGTCGGAGCGGTCGTTGCCGGGCCAGGCGGTGCCATCGGGCATGGTCCACCCATCACGAGGGCTGTCCTGCGCCTTCACCACCAGCGCGTTCATTCGCACCTTGAACTCGTCGTACTCACGCTGGGGGGAAGAGGCAGAAGGGAGGGGTGGGTTGCAGGAAAATGGGTCTTTGAGGTCCCAGTTTTTTCCTGCTGGGGTTCCCACACACTCCACCATCCACACCCATTCTCCCCTCACCACCCCAGCCGTACCACCCTCGTTTCCCCAAAACCTCACAACCCCACGTCCCCACGCCCCACCCTCCACCCATCTCCCCCGTCCTTTCCCCCCTCTTCTTACCTTCATCCGCCTCCTCTCCTTGACAAAGTCAGCGTTGACCTTCCCCAGCAGGTAGTCCACCCCCCCAGAGAAGTACATCTCAGGGGCGCGCGGCTCAATGGCGTGCTTGCGGCAGAAGGGCACCCACAGGCGGCTGAAGTTGGCCGTCTCCATGAGCGCCTCGAATGTCAGCATGGAGGCACCGTCGTCCGACAGATAGCACGCCACCCTGGGGGCAGGAGAGCGGGGGTACAGGATGGGGAGAAGGGTGGCAGAAGTTGGGGGAGACGGGGAGCAATGATCAGCAGACACTCGAACGTCAGCACCGACGCACATCATCAGACAGATGTCCATCAAGGCTGCGTGACTCTCCGCTCCACTTGATTCTCCTCAGATTCTGCCTGCCACCTTACGAGAGCCTCACTGCCTCATCCTGATCCACGTGTCAACGGTCCTACCACCCACATGCACACTCTACGGGTCCGCATGGCGGCAGCTTACTTGTCAACAGGGTAGTCAGCAGCGAGCACGGAGAGGATAACGTTGGCCGTCACGAGCGGCGGCTCCTTGAAGGGGTCGGCTGTGGACACAAACACGTCCACTTGAGGCAGCTCGCATGGCCGCCCCTCCTGCTCATACCTGAAAAAGGGGGAGAGGAAGGGAGCGGGAGGGACGAGGAGGACAGAGCCAGGGGTGTGGTGTGGCGTGGCATGATGTAAGACTGCATTGGTGGGTTGTCACGAGGGGTGGATGCACTTTGAAACAACCTCTCTTCTCACCTGAGCACAAACCCAAAACACCATAATGAAGAGGCACCTGAGGGAGAGGCGGTTGAGGAAGGTCTCTCTGGTGATGGGCGACCACTTGGGCAGCTGGTCGAATATCCAGGAGATTCCAAACCTGGCGCCAGGTGAAACCAACATAAGAGAGAAAACAAAGAAGAACAGAGAAAGGTTTAAGGCAGATGGGTTTAACAAAGGAGGCAGGAGTGAGGGCACGGAAGCGATGGAACAGCAGAGACTAATAGTGAAATCTGCTGAACATATCTCGCAGACGAGACGAGAATTCATGGTGTGAGTGACTGACCAGATCTCGCAGACGACAGAGGCGAGCCAGAGCAGGAAGGCGGAGTTGTTGGGGTTGGTGACTCGGAACTTGAAGAAGAGAATCATCACCACAAACCGCACCACCACTGCAAACCTGCTCCACGCACATGTCACACAAACATGCACGCACACACACATGGGGCGAAGGTGGCAGGGGGGAACAAACATTGAAAAACGATGCGAAGCCACAAGGAGTGAGAAAGGAGACACAAGGAGTGAGAAAGGAGACACAAGGAGTGAGAAAGGAGACACAAGCAATTGTCGACAAGGTTGCGCGCGAAAGAGCACGGGATGTTTGAGGGCTACAGGGCAAGGTACATGCACTATTGTGATGTGATGCTACCCACCTGTAGGGGTTGAGCATGCTGGACGGCACCGGCACCTTGCGCGACAAGGGGCGGCGTGTGTCGTCCACTCTGCAACGGGGGCAAACCGGCAATAAGGCAGCAGCAGATGCAGATGGAGGAGTGGGCAATATCATGTGGAAATATCATCAAAGTGCAAGCGGAAATGGATGGAGGGTTTAGAAGAGGAAAGGAGGGAGAGGGAGGGACAACGGCGTAACACAGGTGTGGGAAAATTGGCGTCCGCACATGAATGGTGAACCGTCAGCAGAAGCACCATGATTGGGGATCACACCCATCCCACCACCGCCACCTCCCACCCCGCCTGCAGAGGCGTCCACATCGTGCACCGGGATAATGGCCGTGGAGGGGCCACCCTCAACCACACCACCAGATGCACTACCAGCAACACCAGCAGCAACACCAGCAGCAGCACCAGCAGCAGCAGCGCCAGAAACACCTGCACCAGAAGCGCCGTCCCCACTAGGTGCCAAGGCAGACCACTGGCGGCGGGGGGTGAACCAGACGATGCTGCCATAGCCGTAGCTGGAGGGGCTGCCTGCACTGTTGGATGATGGGCTCTCGTCCCCCCCACCACCCGGACTGCCCCCTCCACCACCAATGCCCGCTCCAGCACCAGCGCCAGCACCACCAACGCCACCACCAGTCATGCCAGCACCACCAGCAACAGGCCCTGGTGCTGCTGGTGGTGATCCGGATGCGTGGGATGCGGATGAAGGGGAGGACGACGAGGCTTCCAGTGCGAGGTGAGGCGCAGAGGAGGAGACAGGCGAGGCGAGAGGCACGGACGACGGTGGGAGAGAGGGCGAGGGGAAGGCTTGGGGTGCGGGGAGGGCAGAGGGACTGGGGAGAGGGGGCGCGGGGGCGGCAATGGCGGGGGGGGCGGGCGCAGGGGCGGCAATGGCGGGGGCGGAGGGCGCAGGGGCGTCGGGAATGGACTCTTCGAGATGGCGAATGACCTCTTCTGGTGGATCGTCGTCCACTGGGGGACTGCCTGCTCGGACATGATGCAGCAGCAGCAGCAGCATGGGGACACGACACACGGTGGGATGGCATGGCAGCGAGGGCCACATAGTTAGATGCGATCTGATGAGAAAACATTGAGAGACGGAAGAACCGGAACGTAATAAGGCAGCAACGTAATTAGGCGGGGATGGAGCAGGCCGGCGATACACAACACAAGTAGTGTGTGCTTCACCTTGACCTTGCAAAAAAATACGAGTCCAGGGGAGGGGAAGGGGAGGGGGTGGGGAGGGAGAAAGGAGGAGGGGAAGAAGGAAAGGGGTGGAGGTCTTACCCGCGAGGCGGCGGTACTTGGAGAGGCACTGCGGGCAGCGGTTGCCCTCGTGGGCGCGGATGTACTCGTAGCAGGGGCGGCAGATGCGGTAGGCGCACTCGCATGGCACGAACTCGCGCCCCTCCGCGTCCACCCCGATGGCCTGCTGGCAGATGGCGCACGGCAGCTGCCCGTGTGTCTCTGACGGGCCCGCCACGTCCTGTTATCAGGGTGGAAAGGGGTTAAAGACGTCTCAAAGAATGGTATGAAATCGCGCCCCTCCGCGTCCACCCCGATGGCCTGCTGGCAGATGGCGCACGGCAGCTGCCCGTGTGACTCCGATGGGCCCGCCACGTCCTGTTTTCAGGGTATGATGGGAACGGGGTCGCCAGGGGGGAATGGAAAGGGCTTGTGGAGGGTGAAAAGGGGGAGGACGAGATAGATGCGAGCATGGCATGGCGTCCGCGGCAATGGATGTCGAGCGGGCCTGGCATGAGCTATGATGCATGCATGCATGCATGAATGCATGAACCGCGTGGTGAGCGTATGCCGTCGACGACGATGGAGGCGGCCACACAAATGCGAGCATGCCATGGCATGAGCGGCAACGGATGGTGAGACTGAATCGGATCAGAAACAACAGATGCATGCACGTCGCAGAGAGGTGAGCGTACGTCGTCGATGACGATGGAGGCGGCCACGGAGAGCTCCTTGCGCATGCGACTCCCCGCCACCATCACGTTCTCCATCGCCGCCTGATGATGCTGCTGATGCTGCGGCTGCTGCTGCTGCTGCGGCTGCTAGTGCTGTGCTCGTCCTGCTGATGCTGCGGCTGCTGCTGCTGCTGCGGCTGCTACTGCTGTGCTCGTCCTGCTGATGCTTCTTCTGCTGCTGCTAGTGCTGCTTAAGATGATGCCCCTGCTGCTTGTCGCAATGCGGAAAACGCAGCTGATACGACGAGTCGTCGCCTAGTCGCCACGCAACCGTCGCCTCCTGCTAACGCTGCTGCGGCTCTACCCTTCGAGAAGCTCCATCGGGCTTCACGGAGAAAGGCGGTGCTCTACCGTTCGGCTCGCAGTTTCTGTCGGCTCTCACTCGTTCCCGAGTGCCGGGATGGTAACCTAAAAACGGATTACCAACGGCTCCGGAACCAAACAAAGAATGCCTACTCGAGAGTTCCTCAGATTCTCGGGTAGCCTGAAAGGCATTGCGACCGGCTCCGTATAAGGAAGGGAGACCTAGTTACTCGCTACAACCAAGAAACACGCTCGATTGCGTCTTCCAATAAGCATGGCGCGATTGCGACCGGATCAGGTGGACGATCGAGATTGACGGGACGACGAGATCGAACGGTGGAAGCTTGACATGAAATCGCATGTTTCGACGATCCCCCTTGTCCTCGCGCGCGGGATTCGCGCAGCGGATTGAAGGGAGCGAAAGCCATCGAAAGCAGCGGAATGGAGTAGAGCTCGTTACAGTTGACACATTCGAGGTGAGCGAGACGAGTCTAACTAATTATCCATGGCGGACCAAGCTTATTGAGGAACAAGCAATCAAGACAGGAGCAATCCAAAGACGGAGAAACCGAGAAAAGATACTGGGTTATTATTAGGCATGAGCAGAGCGCCGAACCGCAGTTCGGTTCGGCGCGGTTCGGTTCGCTACGAACCGAACCTTAGCCTTATTTTGTTCATTAGGTTCGCCACGGACCGAACCGGTTTGTCATCGAACCGGTTCTGCGGTTCGACCGGCTCGGTTTTTTGCTTTCATCTAAGGGCACAGAGGGGCGGGGAGGGGTTACGAAAGGTTAAGAGAGGCTTAAACGGTCGGTCAGGTTCGGTTCGGTTCGGTATTCCTGCTATAATACCGAACCTCGAGCCGGCTTGAGACCAGAGCGGTTCGGAGTGGTTCGGTTCGATCATCCGGGTTCGGTTCGATCAAGAACCGGTTCGGTTCGATCAAGAACCGGTTCGGTTTATGCGCTATACTGCCCGAACTGGTTCGGTTCGGTACTTTGCTCATGCCTAGTTATTATACGAATGGTCACTGAACAGGGCGCGCTATCACAAATGGTCACAGGATTATTACGAACGGACATTCAACGAACGAACGGGCAAATCTATCACACATGGTCACTCGTTTATCACGGATGGTCACTCGTCGCCCCACGATGCTATAACGAATAGTCACTCAAAGAAACGCCCGCCCAAAAGTTGAAGTTCTCCCCCCTTACGACCTAACACTTCTTACGATGTAGGGACTATTAGCGCGTTTATTTTGTTTGTCTTTTTTCGCGTAGCACTGTTCCAACCGTAGGAAAGCGCGAACTTCCTAGGCGAAGCCTAACTGAGAAACATTAGCAGGGGCGCCTCCTCCTCACAGCCCCCCAGAGCAGCGGCGCGTCCTCCTCACAACCCCCCAGAGCAGCGGCGCCTCGCCCTCACAGCCCCCTAGAGCAGCGGCGCCTCGCCCTCACAGCCCCCTAGAGCAGCAGCGCCCCGCCCTCATAGCCCGCTCTTTTTGCGACTTCCACAGTGGGGCGTTCTGTGTGCGAGTGTGCACAAGAAAGCATCTGTGTGGGATGCTTCTGCTTGCTGGTGTCGGCCTGAAGGATTGCGCCCGCTCTTAGCTCTTTGCTCTGTCTATTGTCGCTGCTGCCTGGTCTGTCTGCTGCATTCTGTCTGCTGTGCCTGGTGGCTCTTTGAGCTGCACTCACTGTGTCTGGCTTGCTTTGGTATATGGCATGGCATGATATTGTTAGAATTACTAGACAGGAATGGTTGGATTGAAAGAAGCAAGGGTACAAATAGGAAACCCTAGTTGGGGTTGTACCCCATGTTGGCTACCCCACTACAGCCTACAAATATATAACACATTATACTTTGACACACCCCCATAGGCAAAGTGGGGGAGAGCAAGGGGTCACAAGACCAGTCAAGCAAAGCAAAGAACAAGCTCAGGGTGGATCACAATGTCACCACAAGCAAAGGCCACAAGGCCAGTTCACATGCAGATTTATATAGAAGAACACAAGTAGTACAGTGATCAAAGCCTAGCAAGTGCAAGCATGCAAGGACATATATATAGATCACAGTACAAGCAAAGTCAAGAAGTAAGCAAGTGAGAGAACGTGGACACAAGGCCTAACGCAGTGCAGTGCCGCTGATGATCACTAGGCGGAAGTGCCTTGGTGAATATATCAGCAGTGTTGGCCTTCGAGTCCACGTACGCAAGGCGAAGCTGGCCACGCTGCTGCAACTCTCGAGCCAGAAAGTAACGGAGAGCAATGTGCTTCGTTCTGTGCTCCAGTCTGTGCTCCTGACACAAGGCAAGAGCTGCCTTGTTGTCGCCGTACAGAACTGGAGGAGAACGAGGCCGCTCACCCAGGTCAGTCAGCAGGTAGGTGAGCCAGCGTAGCTCCTGTGCAGCCATGGCCGTGGCGTAGATCTCAGCCTCACAACTGGAGCTGAGAACAGAAGAAGAGCGAGTGGAACGCCAAGAGACAGAACCAGAGCCAAGGCTGAAAG